GGAGAGCCCCGAGGCAGCGACTCCGGATCACGTCCTACCTGCACCAAATGTCCCGGGTGCTCATTAATGCCTCGCACACACCTGTGTCATTATCCCGAGCTCTGGAATTGGCTTCAGACACCCATGGATTGAGCAATAAAAAGCCCTCAAAGATAAACAGAGCTCAGCTGTCATTCCAGCAATCAGCTTCTAATCAGGTCAGGGTTCTTGGCCTCGTCAGGCTTTTTATTATTTTATTATTTCCTACGCTGCATCCATATTAAATCCCGATAGTGGAATGGATTAAATCCCATCAATGGAATAAATTTGATGGAATAGATTCCATTAGGATTAACTGGATCCAGGGAGAGGCAAATAAACTCCTTTCCCTGGGTTCCACAGATCCATTCCCTGCGTTCGTGTAATGGCAGTGATTCCCGTCAGTCTCCCAGGTTGGAATGGTTCGGGATTAAAACTCATCTCATTCCTCTCCTGCCCTGGGCAGGGACATTCCCACCATCCCAGGGTGCTCCAGCCTGGCCTTGGACACTTCCAGGGATGGAGAATCCATGGAATACCCCCTTTCAGGGCCTCCCCACCCTCCCAGGGAATTCTTCCCCAGAATCCCATCCAAATTTCCTTTCTGGAACCCATTCCCGGTGCCCTGGCACTCCATCCCTTGGGAATTGTCTCTCCCCGCGTTCCTTGTGGCCCCTTCAGGTCCTGCCAGGCCACCGTGAGGTCACCTCAGAGCTCCCCCTTCTCCAAAAGGAGCAATCCCAATTCTCCCAGCCTTTCCTCCATCCCTCGGATCCTCCTGGAGCCTCCTCTGGGCTCTCTCCAGCAGCTTCAGATCCTCCCGGGGCCGGGATCCAGGGCTGGGGCAGATCTGGAGGTGGGGTCTCATTTTCCTGTTGGAATCCCCCCCATCCCCACCTCGTTTTCTTCCCAGTGCTGCTGCATTAAATTGTCACAAGAATCCCAAGCAGCCTTGGATCTGTTTCAGGGGCTCTGTGGGAGGTTATTATGACACACAAAACGACTTTTTAATGAAAAAATGAATAACCCTGGGTTCCGACGCTGTCAAATGTTGTCTGCCCAGGGAGTAACCAAATTTCGGGTGACGTTATTGCCCAAGTGACAAAACCATTCCAATTTTGCATTGTAGCTGCAACATTTCCACGGCTGATGCACTTTGTGTGTCTCAACCATTTAATGAATATTTGAGATTGGCTTTGAAGTTCTTCCCTTTCAAGAATCTGCAGCTCCAATTGCTCTGCAGCCCCAGGGAGCTGCAGGCAGACACCTCAGAGGCTTCGGAATGTGGGATGGAGCTAAATGAGAGATGGCGGTTCTGGGATGGAGCTTTGAGTGAAACGTCCTTTTTTTCTTTTCTTTTTTTTTTTTTAATTAAGAAAATACTTCCTAAAAAAGTTCCCATCAGTTGTGGAATCAAGGAATGGTTTAGGGTGGAAGGGACCTTAAAGATCACCTTGTTCCAGCCCCTTCCATGGGAAGGGACACCTCCCACTGGATCAGGTTGCTCAATAACCCATTCAACCTGGCCTGGACTGGATCACATCCCGGAATTGATCATTTCTTCAGCCTCAATCATCACAGGATGAGCTCCCAATTAACTTGGTTCTTCTCTGAACTGAAATCTTAATTCTAAAAATAAAATCCCCAGTCTGGGGATTGAATTATTGCTTGAATCATTTTATGCCTTCATGGTCAGTTTAATTCTTGTTTTGCCGCAGTCACGGTGTGCTAAGCTCTGCTTTAATGAATAAAATGAAACATTTCTCTCCTCAGAAACGTTTTGGAGCAGAAAAATTGAAGCTGGAGATTCCTCCCCTTGGTTAACCAAAATGACCCGCTCAAATTATCCGAGTTGAGCAGAAATGATTGCTGGCTGCACCACCTGAGTGAAGCATTTGGGGTTCTGGCTTTGGGTATGGCCGTAAACAAACTGAAATGAGGTGTCCCAGCAATTGCAGGGACGCCACCATCCCCTGTGTTCCAAATTGCTTCCATTCCTTTCCTACAGCAGGGAATTGTCAGGATATTACCAGTGCCTCCAAACTGTGCTGCCAGGACATAAAACCTGAGCACATCCCAGCCCTAATTAGGCCAGGGAAGAAACTTGCCCAGTAGCCCGTATCCAACACCAGCTGCTGAATGTTTTACGTCCACTGAGAAACAGTTCAGCTTCCTGTTGGAAAAAGAGAAGGAAAAAACACTCCTGGAGACTTTACAGAAGTTGCTCTGAGGGGGAATTATTCCCAAAAAATGTCTTCAGGTATGAAGCTGACTTGGAAAAAACCTCCCACTTTAAAAACTTCAAATTTTGGTTATTAAATGCACTTGGAGATTCTACACAAGCTGGAGGTAGTGACACAATAAACTATAAACTGTGAAGTGGTTTCTGTAATAAAATGCTGAATGCTGACTGAAAAATTTAAAAAATTGGTGCCGCTCAGGGTTTGTGACCTAATTAGGCTCTCGACTAAACCAGTGCTTCATTCTCAATGAAAGATTCAAACCAGACATGTGGCACAATCTGAAAACACAGGGAAAAATATCAGCCATTGCATTTATGCAAAACATGCAAATGCTGTGTGAATCTGGAGCTATCTGGGATGAGTCTGGCATTGTTTTAATTTGGAAATGGCCACGAGACAGATGAGGCAGTGACTGAAGTGCCAGACAGAGAAGGAAAAACACATTGCTTTCCAAGGACATTGCTATAAAGACCTAAATTACCTGAATCAACAAGGCTGGCCATGGGAAGTGTTTGATCTCTAATTAAGTCACATAAAACAAAGTTCCAGTGTGGAACGGGGATGCCACCAGCAAGGAAACGGGGAAGGAGAGTTGCAGCACCAAATCAAAGGTTGGTGAAGGAGGAAGGGAGTGTTTTCCATCAAGGATGAGCTTGGGAAACACATCCCATGAGCAAAGACTGGCCCCAGGGCTGGTCAGGACGGTATAAAAACCACTCCAAGCGCAGGATCCCTCATCGAGCTCTCCTGCCTTCTCCTCCTCGGTGACACAGGTGAGCTGCAACCACCTTTACCTTCTTTTTGTCCTTCTCTTTCTCTTTGCCTTCACCTCTGGCCGTGCTGCTGTGGAGCTCCTGCTGAGAACTTGGCTCCCAGACCCTGCTCCCAGCCTCTGCTCACTGGGAGGAGGTGGGAGAAGCTGTTGGGCTCTTGGCAGAGAAACCACGGGGTTCCTGATCCTTTCTTCCTCCCCCTTCCCTGTCCCTTCTCCCCGGGCTCTGCTCTGTCTGTGCCTCACCTTCTGCCTGTGCCTTCTCCAGGTGCTCCTCCAGCCACAGCCATGTCCTGCTACGACCTGTGCCGGCCCTGCGGCCCCACCCCGCTGGCCAACAGCTGCAACGAGCCCTGTGTCCGGCAGTGCCAGGACTCGCGGGTCATCATCGAGCCGTCCCCCGTGGTGGTCACCCTGCCCGGGCCCATCCTCAGCTCCTTCCCCCAGAACACCGCCGTGGGATCCTCCACCTCCGCCGCCGTGGGCAGCATCCTGAGCGAGTCCGGGGTCCCCATCAACTCGGGGGGCTTTGGGCTCTCGGGGCTCTCTGGCCTTGGTGGCCGCTACTGTGGCCGCAGGTGCCTGCCCTGCTAGAGCCGGGCCGGACGTCCAGCGAGTGCCTCCGCCAGGAAGCCCCAGGCCAGGGGCCGCACTGAGGCCGCAGCTGCTGGCCAGCGTTTCCAGAGGCCTTGGGCCCCCTCGAGCCCTCCTCCTGCCAAGGAGGGAGGCAAGCGTGGCCAGCCGAGCCTTCTGCTTGTCCTGCTTTCTCCTGCGCCTCCCCAGGCCCTGCTGGGCCCTGCTCTGCCGGCCCAGGGGCTCAGCCCCAGGCCAGCGCGGCGGGGTCCTGCTGCTGCCGCTGTCCCCGTGCCTGGGCCAGGCAGACGTGTGTCCCACTGCTGGCCAGGATGGCCCTGCCCACCCCCTGCTTCCTTCCTGCCTTCACACTCTAAATAAAGTTCACTCTGCATTGGAACTGGAGTCTCCTGGAGTTCCTGCCCTGCCGGGATGTGCAGCTCAGCTGCTCCGTGGGGGCTGTGATGCCCTGGGAGGGTTTGGGTGGTTAAAGGCCAGGGATGGCCCTTTCCACACCTGGGCAAGGTGAGAAGCTGCAAGGGCCGCAGTCCCTGGAAGTGCCTGGGGCAGTGTAGGGAGCGTGGCCTGGTGTGAGTGTGCACAGAGTGACCAGGAGGTGCCCAGGGGACAGGACACAGGCTGGGGACGTGCTGAGGTGTGTAATGTGGACATGGGGCAGAGATGGACACACAAGGACCACAATCCCTCATCTGAGGGACAGAGCAGTGACTGTGACATGGCCTGGGGCTGTACCCAGGCCAAGTACAGAGCAGTGGAAACATCCCCCAGCAAAATTGTCCTGTGCTCAGAAGCGTGAATTGCTGCGGTGTCATTCTGTGTGTCACCGTGTCCTGAAGGAACAGGAGTCTGGAACAGACCTGCAGAAATCTGCTGTGCAGACTGTCTACTTGATCTTGGAGCCTTTTTTCCAACCTTGAGGATTCTGGGATTCCTCCTGGAGAGCAACCCATCCTCAGCCCATTTCCACTGTGCCAATATCTGGCGCAGGACTCACATTTCTCTTGGCACACCTGCCCTGGGTGACAGGTGTCACCTCAGGACTTTAGGCTGTCCCTGTGCTCCAGGGTTTGGATGCAGGCAAGGAAAACAACCTCTTGTAGCTGGAAATGCAGAATAAAGGCTTGAGGAAGGTGCCAGTAAATCTACACAGGAATGTCTATTGGAAGGTCAGTGTTCTGCCTCATCAACTGGAACCCAATGTCCAACCTCCCTCCTGGCCTGAGTGGTCACCCTGTGCACACTCACACAAAGCCACCCTCCTCCAATCCCACCCAAACCCCCCCAGAGCATCACAGCCCCCACGGAGCAGCTTTAGCCAGGTGTCCCAAAACGGAAGGAACTCCAGGAGACTCCAGTTCCAATGCAGAGTGAACTTTATTTAGAGTGTGAAGGCAGGAAGGAAGCAGGGGGTGGGCAGGGCCATCCTGGCCAGCAGTGGGACACACGTCTGCCTGGCCCAGGCACGGGGACAGCGGCAGCAGCAGGACCCCGCCGCGCTGGCCTGGGGCTGAGCCCCTGGGCCGGCAGAGCAGGGCCCAGCAGGGCCTGGGGAGGCGCAGGAGAAAGCAGGACAAGCAGAAGGCTCGGCTGGCCACGCTTGCCTCCCTCCTTGGCAGGAGGAGGGCTCGAGGGGGCCCAAGGCCTCTGGAAACGCTGGCCAGCAGCTGCGGCCTCAGTGCGGCCCCTGGCCTGGGGCTTCCTGGCGGAGGCACTCGCTGGACGTCCGGCCCGGCTCTAGCAGGGCAGGCACCTGCGGCCACAGTAGCGGCCACCAAGGCCAGAGAGCCCCGAGAGCCCAAAGCCCCCCGAGTTGATGGGCACTCCCTCCTCGCTCAGGATGCTGCCCACGGCGGCGGAGGTGGAGGATCCCACGGCGGTGTTCTGGGGGAAGGAGCTGAGGATGGGCCCGGGCAGGGTGACCACCACGGGAGAGGGCTGGATGACCACACGGGAGTCCTGGCACTGCCGGACACAGGGCTCGTTGCAGCTGTTGGCCAGCGGGGTGGGGCCGCAGGGCCGGCACAGGTCGTAGCAGGACATGGCTGTGGCTGGAGGAGCACCTGGAGAGAGGGCAGGGAAAGCACCCCCACAATGTTAGGCACAGATGGAGATGCTGCTGGGCAGGAGGAAACGCAGCCGGGGCACAAGGGACAGACTCCAGAGGGATGCAGGGAGGAATTCAACAGCCCTGATGCCAAAGTGTTCCCAGAAAAGGAATCCCAACATCCCCCGCCTGTCCCCAGGAAAAAACAACCGCAGAAACCTGGTGAGAGCAGGATGGAGGAGGAAGACTCTCAGAGACCGCTGCAGAGAAGCAAAGATTGCATTGAGGTCCGAGGAAAAAGGGAAGAGGAAGAGAAGAGTGAGGCAAAGGCCCTTGCAGCTCACCTGTGTCACTGAGGAGGAGAAGGCAGGAGAGCTGGATGAGGGATCCTGCGCTTGCTCTGCCTTTTATACCGTCCCACACAGCCCCGGGCCCAGACGCGCCTTTGCACAAGGAAGGTGTTTACCAACAAGCTCATATTTTATGCAAAACATCCCCAATTAAGTAAACTCGAGGTTGTTTATGTTCCCTGCAACACTGCCTTTTCATTTCCTTGTGCAGGACATGCCCATTCAGCCAAACTGGCTCCTTTCAAGTGCCAGCATTAGAGGCCAAAATGTTTTTAGGGTGTTTTTCAGCCAGAAGCAGGCTGGTGTTTCAGCCAGCTGGGTGGAGTGGTGCCGTATATCCAGGTGATGTCAGCACCTTCCCCTCCTGAGGCAGCTCTAAGCCTTTGGAGTAATAAATGCAGGTCTTTTTTTATTATAAACGCAGGATTAAAGGGCTGGCTTTGGCGGGGACTGGCCGTAGACACTGCTCTCTGTGACTCCAAGGCCTTTCAAGACTTCTTAGACATCATTTATTCATCAGGGAGACTAACATGGGTTGGTTTTGAACTTTCTTTGGGATCTCATATTGCCTTTGGAAGAAATTATCTCGTTTCTTCTGCCTTTCACCTCTTTCAGCATTGCCTGGAGTTCTCCAGTCTGCAGAACAGGACTGATCCAGAAGGAAGGACGCTCCTTTCCCAACAACAAATATTTGTCAGGGTTATTATCTTGCAGAAAACACTCCCTAATGAGAAATCTGAATCAAAACTCTTCCTTCTTCCATTCCTCACGGCCATCCCTCCACTTCTTTTCCCCCTCTGCCTCTGACCAGAGCCTACACACAGTCCCAACCACTCGGGAATATTTCCAAGCAGGACACAGAGAGTCCCTGCGGGCTGGCAGTGCCAGCAAACCCAGCCTGGGGAGCAGCAGGGGCCAGGATGTCCCCAGAGATGCACGGAGAGGGAAAGATCCCACGCTCTGGGCTGCATTTCCTGGGGCAAGACAAGAGCTGTGTCCCCAGGAGTGGTGACAGCCCTGCTCAAGCACCAGCTGCAGGACCGTCACACCCCTTGTGGCAAAGGGGGAAAAACTCCTGTCCCAGTGAGGCTGGAGCTCCACCAGAGACAGAAAAATCTTAAATCCCAGAGGTCCAAGCCAGGTTCCTCATCCAGGAGGATGAAGGGAGCTCTGAGGGTTGACAGGAGACTTTTCTCCAAACGAACACATTCAGAAGAAAACCCCAGGTGTGACAGGGCAGATCTAACACAGAGATTTCCTTCAGAACACACATCACGTTTCCATCTGGGGCATTTCCACTTAAATCCCTCCTGCAGGCAAAACACTGAATGCAGCAAAGGCATTTCCAGCCCTCTCTCCATCTCCCTGACCCATCCCTCCCCACCAAGGGTCTGCATAAAGCCTTGAGTGTCCTCATCCACCCACCCCACTCTCTCAGGGGTGTCCTGGGGGTGTTGCCTCCCTTCCCTGGCTCCATTTTGACCTTGTTGCTGCCAATGTCCCCTCCTGGCTAGGACAGGGATGGGAGGGCATTTCCACAGTAGATAAAGAGGTAGAGGAACTTGGCAGGATTGCTTTATTTCAGACACTGAAGCCCAAAATAGGGCAGAGGAGCAGCCCTTGACTGTCACTGCAGGGCCAGGCACACCCCATTCCTCGGGGAAAAGCACTCCACAGAAAGCAGGAAAGGAAAATTGGACATCACATTGATGCTGACAGTTGCACTGTCAGGCACACGTCCCTTCAACTCCTTTGGGACTCTCTTTGCATCCAGGGTTTGGGAGGAATGCTTGGAGGAAGGGAGGGAAAGCTCCAGTTGTAGGTGGTAAAACACAACCATGGCCTTGGGCAGCTGGGTGAAACTGCCACAGAAACCATTGGGTCAGTGGCTTGACACGTCAGCTGGAAGCTGTCCCCAGCCTGTGTCCTGTCCCCTGGGCACCTCCTGGTCACTCTGTGCACACTCACACCAGGCCACGCTCCCTGCACTGCCCCAGGCACTTCCAGGGACTGCTTGCAGCTTCTCACCTTGCCCAGGTGTGGAAAGGGCCATCCCTGGCCTTTAACCACCCAAACCCCCCCAGGGCATCACAGCCCCCACGGAGCAGCTGAGCTGCACATCCCGGCAGGGCAGGAACTCCAGGAGACTCCAGTTCCAATGCAGAGTGAACTTTATTTAGAGTGTGAAGGCAGGAAGGAAGCAGGGGGTGGGCAGGGCCATCCTGGCCAGCAGTGGGACACACGTCTGCCTGGCCCAGGCACGGGGACAGCGGCAGCAGCAGGACCCCGCCGCGCTGGCCTGGGGCTGAGCCCCTGGGCCGGCAGAGCAGGGCCCAGCAGGGCCTGGGGAGGCGCAGGAGAAAGCAGGACAAGCAGAAGGCTCGGCTGGCCACGCTTGCCTCCCTCCTTGGCAGGAGGAGGGCTCGAGGGGGCCCAAGGCCTCTGGAAACGCTGGCCAGCAGCTGCGGCCTCAGTGCGGCCCCTGGCCTGGGGCTTCCTGGCGGAGGCACTCGCTGGACGTCCGGCCCGGCTCTAGCAGGGCAGGCACCTGCGGCCACAGTAGCGGCCACCAAGGCCAGAGAGCCCCGAGAGCCCAAAGCCCCCCGAGTTGATGGGGACCCCGGACTCGCTCAGGATGCTGCCCACGGCGGCGGAGGTGGAGGATCCCACGGCGGTGTTCTGCGGGAAGGAGCTGAGGATGGGCCCGGGCAGGGTGACCACCACGGGGGACGGCTCGATGATGACCCGCGAGTCCTGGCACTGCCGGACACAGGGCTCGTTGCAGCTGTTGGCCAGCGGGGTGGGGCCGCAGGGCCGGCACAGGTCGTAGCAGGACATGGCTGTGGCTGGAGGAGCACCTGGAGAAGGCACAGGCAGAAGGTGAGGCACAGACAGAGCAGAGCCCGGGGAGAAGGGACAGGGAAGGGGGAGGAAGAAAGGATCAGGAACCCCGTGGTTTCTCTGCCAAGAGCCCAACAGCTTCTCCCACCTCCTCCCAGTGAGCAGAGGCTGGGAGCAGGGTCTGGGAGCCAAGTTCTCAGCAGGAGCTCCACAGCAGCATGGCCAGAGGTGAAGGCAAAGAGAAAGAGAAGAACAAAAAGAAGGTAAAGGTGGTTGCAGCTCACCTGTGTCACCGAGGAGGAGAAGGCAGGAGAGCTCGATGAGGGATCCTGTGCTTGCTCTGCCTTTTATACCGTCCCACACAGCCCCGGGCCTGCAGGCACCCTCGGCACAGGGAAGGTGTTTACCAAGCTCATCTTGCATGCAAAACATCCCCATTAGAGAAATGGGGACACCACAACGCTGCTTTTTCATTTCCCTGTGCAGGACGTGCCCAGTCAGCCTCCCAGGCTCCTTTCAAGTGCCAGGATTAGAGGCCAAAATGTGTCCGGGGGCAATGCCACGTCAGCAGGGCCAGGTGATGCAGCCGGTGCTGGGGACTGTCCTATTTCACCAGGGGACATCAAGCCCTTCGCCCTCCAGGGCTTCACTTTAGGGTTCCCAAAATGATCAGGGCATTTCTTCTGGCAGCCCTAAAATAACAAGCCAAGCTTAAAAACGTGTTTTCTGTGACAGGGGTCACCTCAACCACTGCGTAAGCAAATACTCAACTCCATCAGAGCTGGGTGTAAACTTCCCTGTCACCTTGAACACTCTGAAGAGTCTGGAATTTCACATCCTGACAAATCCATGTGCTCTTTGCACTTCCATGCCTCTGTGGAGAGCCCCCAGCATCCTCGAGTCAACAGGAGGATGTTTGAAAAGCTGAAAGTCCTCTCCAGCACACCCAAATTCTGCTCGCACCAACTCCACCCAGAACCGTCTGTGTTGGGCCTTTCCCACTGTTCCTTCTCCATCCCCAAATCTCCAAAACCCTTCTTGGAGTCTACACCCAAATTCGGTGGCAGGCGGTGGAAAGAGCCTGCAGAGCTCTCCAAGGAGACATCAAAACACCTCAGAAGGACTCATGGTCTGGGAATGTCAGCAGGAAAACACTGGAGGCAAGCAGACAGCAGGATCACCGGTTCCTCCATTCCCTCATGGCAGCACACTCAGACATGCAGGGTCCAACTGGCCTGGCCTCGTCCCATTGTCAGCACCAAGGGGCTTCCCTTTAGTGGTCTCCAACCCTTCCATTCCCTGTCTTCCATCTTGGAATGGTCTCTGACCCCTCCATTCCCTGCTCCAGGTAGAGTGAGGGTCACTTCTTGTGTTTGGACAATGCCCTCAGGCACAGGGTGGAATTTTGGCGTGTCTTTGCAGGGCCAGGAGTTTGGTTTGGTGATTTGTGGGTCCCTTCCAATCTGGATATTCCATGGTTCTGTTCTTCCCTGGATGACAGGGAGTAGAAGATGTGGGAGGAAGCAGGAGGCACCTTGTCCTCCTCTTCATCACCAACCACACCACAGCGATGTTCTCCGCCTTGGGAATGTCTCCCTGTGAACTCCTGAGCTGTGCCTGCAGCCCTGCCAGCACCACTGGACCCTCCAGGAGGGACAGGAGAGCACAGGGGATGGTCTGGTGGCAGAAGTGAAGGGTGACACCCCCCTGGGATTCTGTCACATGCAGGACACGAGCCATGGAAGGTGTTCCAGGAAACATTTTCCTATTGAGCAATGAAACCCACGGAGCAGGGAGGTTATGGGGTGCCCATCCTTGGGCAGATTGAGAAACCATTGACATCTAAATCAACTCCCTCAATTGTCCCACCTGTACAGAGGGTTCAGCCACATCAGCTCCAGAAGTGCATCCCAATCCCCAATAGCTGTGATTTTTGAGACCTCCCCCATGAAGCAGCTTTAGCCAGGTGTCCCAAAACGGAAGGAACTCCAGGAGACTCCAGTTCCAATGCAGAGTGAACTTTATTTAGAGTGTGAAGGCAGGAAGGAAGCAGGGGGTGGGCAGGGCCATCCTGGCCAGCAGTGGGACACACGTCTGCCTGGCCCAGGCACGGGGACAGCGGCAGCGGCAGGACCCCGCCGCGCTGGCCTGGGGCTGAGCCCCTGGGCCGGCAGAGCAGGGCCCAGCAGGGCCTGGGGAGGCGCAGGAGAAAGCAGGACAAGCAGAAGGCTCGGCTGGCCACGCTTGCCTCCCTCCTTGGCAGGAGGAGGGCTCGAGGGGGCCCAAGGCCTCTGGAAACGCTGGCCAGCAGCTGCGGCCTCAGTGCGGCCCCTGGCCTGGGGCTTCCTGGCGGAGGCACTCGCTGGACGTCCGGCCCGGCTCTAGCAGGGCAGGCACCTGCGGCCACAGTAGCGGCCACCAAGGCCAGAGAGCCCCGAGAGCCCAAAGCCCCCCGAGTTGATGGGGACCCCGGACTCGCTCAGGATGCTGCCCACGGCGGCGGAGGTGGAGGATCCCACGGCGGTGTTCTGGGGGAAGGAGCTGAGGATGGGCCCGGGCAGGGTGACCACCACGGGAGAGGGCTGGATGACCACACGGGAGTCCTGGCACTGCCGGACACAGGGCTCGTTGCAGCTGTTGGCCAGCGGGGTGGGGCCGCAGGGCCGGCACAGGTCGTAGCAGGACATGGCTGTGGCTGGAGGAGCACCTGGAGAAGGCACAGGCAGAAGGTGAGGCACAGACAGAGCAGAGCCCGGGGAGAAGGGACAGCCTGGAGAGTGAGACAGAAAGGGCAGGGAATTGCAGTCCCTAAAAACACAGACAAGACCTTCTCCTGACTCCCAGCAGTGTGGCACTGAGAATGGAGATGGTCACCAAAGTGTCCCAGCAAAATGTAACTGAGGCAAAGCCCCAGTGGAAGCCAGAAGAGACAGAGGAAAAGAAATGGAAGGAGCGGAAGGCACTCACCTGTGTCACCAAGGAGGAGAAGGCAGGAGAGCTGGATGAGGGATCCTGCGCTTGATCTGCCTTTTATACCGTCCCACACAGCCCGGGGCCCAGGGACACTTTTTGCACAGGGAAGGTGTTTACCAAGCTCATCTTGCATGCAAACATCCCAATTACAAAAATTAGTGTTTTTATTTTTGCCCTGCAACGCTGCCTTTTCATTTCCCTGTGCGGGACATGCCCAGTCAGCCTCCCGGGCTCCTTTCAAGTGCTGGGATTAGAGGCCAAAACATTTCCAGGGAAAATGATTTGTCAGCAGGGCCGGGTGACACAGCCTGGGCTCAGCAGTGTCCCACTGACCACCTGGTGCCCCTTCAGGGCAGGATTTTCAAGTGCAGAGGCTGTGCCCTGCTGGACATTGGCACCATGGGACTGGGGATGGAAGGGAACCTGAGACTGGAACAGCTTTCCCAGAACATCGACTCCAACCTGGGTCTGATCCCCGCTTTGTCCCACAGAGCACTGAGTGCCATGTCCAGCTTCCCCTCAGATGGTGACTCCAAACTTCCCTGGCCAAGGCCAGAGCAACGTTACCCAGTCTGGAGAGGTGATGCCTCGTTCAGGGTGAGGGACAGAGCTGCCCCTCGCAGGGGAATGGCCAGGATGGACCCACAGGGCCCTGAGGAGCCCAGCCTCATCATCAGGAAACACTTTAAAGTCCTGCCCTGGAGGGCCAGGGCTGGAATTATTTGGGATGTCGGACACTCCCCAGCACCGGCTGCATCACCTGGCCCTGCTGACGTGGCATTGCCCCCAGACACATTTTGGCCTCTAATCCTGGCACTTGAAAGGAGCCTGGGAGGCTGACTGGGCACGTCCTGCACAGGGAAATGAAAAAGCAGCGTTGTGGTGTCCCCATTTCTCTAATGGGGATGTTTTGCATGCAAGATGAGCTTGGTAAACACCTTCCCTGTGCCGAGGGTGCCTGCAGGCCCGGGGCTGTGTGGGACGGTATAAAAGGCAGAGCAAGCGCAGGATCCCTCATCGAGCTCTCCTGCCTTCTCCTCCTCGGTGACACAGGTGAGCTGCAAGGGCCTTTGCCTCACTCTTCTCTTCCTCTTCCCTTTTTCCTCGGACCTCAATGCAAGCTTTGCTTCTCTGCAGCGGTCTCTGAGAGTCTTCCTCCTCCATCCTGCTCTCACCAGATTTCTGTGGTTGTTTTTTCCTGGGGACAGGTGGGAGATGTTGGGATTCCTTTTCTGGGAACACTTTGGCATCAGGGCTGTTGAATTCCTCCCTGCATCCCTCTGGAGTCTGTCCCTTGTGCCCCGGCTGCGTTTCCTCCTGCCCAGCAGCATCTCCATCTGTGCCTGACATTGCGGGGGTGCTTTCCCTGCCCTCTCTCCAGGTGCTCCTCCAGCCACAGCCATGTCCTGCTACGACCTGTGCCGGCCCTGCGGCCCCACCCCGCTGGCCAACAGCTGCAACGAGCCCTGTGTCCGGCAGTGCCAGGACTCCCGTGTGGTCATCCAGCCGTCCCCCGTGGTGGTCACCCTGCCCGGGCCCATCCTCAGCTCCTTCCCCCAGAACACCGCCGTGGGATCCTCCACCTCAGCCGCCGTGGGCAGCATCCTGAGCGAGGAGGGAGTGCCCATCAACTCGGGGGGCTTTGGGCTCTCGGGGCTCTCTGGCCTTGGTGGCCGCTACTGTGGCCGCAGGTGCCTGCCCTGCTAGAGCCGGGCCGGACGTCCAGCGAGTGCCTCCGCCAGGAAGCCCCAGGCCAGGGGCCGCACTGAGGCCGCAGCTGCTGGCCAGCGTTTCCAGAGGCCTTGGGCCCCCTCGAGCCCTCCTCCTGCCAAGGAGGGAGGGAGGGAGGTGCTGTCTGGACACGTGGCCAACCTGTTTCAGCCTTGAAAGTCCTGCTTTTGAAGAGTTTCCTTGTCTTTGTGATTTTGCATTTCATGCTGACGTGGTTTAATGCTGTAATCGCCAGCAGCCAGTGGAGGGGTTTCACTCAGGAATTACGGAAAGGTGGAGTCTTGCTTGCTGTCTCTCAGTTGGAATGGTGTCAGTGGCTTCTATTCCCTTCATAAAGATTTATTTTCCCTTTGTTTTTGCTGAATGCTACTTGACTTTTTATCATTAAACTGATGTTGCATCTGATTTTGAGTCTCATTGTGGTTTTATCTCCTTTTCACCTCCCCTGGGGGCAGAATTATGTGAAAATCTACGCAAGGATTTCACAGGGGAAAATGTGCATCCAAAAGTCACCACAACTCACCTGATAAAAATAATTTTGTTGGTTCTTACACTCTTGAGAGGCACTGAACAGATTCACAAATATATTTCTCTTTGTAGGATATTTTTCCCCAATGTTTTTATCCCATCTATGTATCTAAAAGTACAATTGTGATGTTTAAGCTTGAGGGATTTCAGATCTTGTCCCCTATTTGGCATCTTTGAAACCCTTGAGAATCTGAATGAATATTAATAAGGCAGAAGCAAAAGGATTCAAGAAGAGTAAAACCGTGAAATAAAATCTATTTGAAAATTAAATCACCCTGGAGCTGAGATATAAATATTTGAGGAGCTTGAGGGAAAGCTCTTGGGTTTTTGGGAAATTTTCCACAAATATCCAGCCTAAGTCTCCCTGGCACAGCTCCGGCCACTCCCTGGTCACCGAGAGCGGAGATCGGAGCCACTCCTCTGCTTTCCATCCACGGCTCAGGGCAGCAACACCCAAAAAACCAAAAGTTGGAAAATTAAAACATCCCAGGCTCAGAGGAGGGCTTGGAAAGAGCTTTCCATGGGCAAATTTTCCAAACAAATGTTTGGAGGGGCTGGTGGGACGAGTTGTTCCCTGGGATCCGCGAGGAATCCGAGGGTGGCGGGCGTTGGCGCGTGGCAGAACCGCTGTGGTTATATTTGTGACGAGATTCTTCTTTTCTGTTTTTTTACAAATAAAAACAAATACTCGTGGCCAAGTGACACCCCAGATGTGGTACTTGCTGATAAAAATGTTATGTATAAGGTTTCTGTGCTGTAACAATTTTTTGATGGTGTTAAATTGGTAAATATGGGGGTTTCAAAAGTCAGTTTAAATCTGTTTTTATATTTAAAAAATAGTATTTATTTAAATTTATTAAAACATTTATAGGGGGATTTGAAAATGTGTATTCTGTATCTACCACCAACAGACTATTTAATCTATTTTACCTATTTAATCTATTTAATCTAATTTATCTATTTTATCTATTTAATCTATTTTATCTATTAATCCCACGATGCAAATGAGGGGCATGAGGGGTGGATATTTTTGACTTTATGGTGTTATTGAAGCATCTTTTTATTTTTATTTTTATTTTGCATTAATTAGTTCCCACACATATTTTTGCAAGTGGAACCTTTTCTTGATAAAGGAATTGTCCTGCTTTTGTTTTCCAGTCTAGGTTTAGGCTGGCATTGCATGAGAAGCATCATCCACCCATTAAAAATTCTTTCATCTTCCCAATTTATGGGTACTTTTAATTTCTGGTACTTTTAGACCGGCTTTAATAATGGCAACATGAAATTACTTCAAGCACAGTTGAATAAAGACAATTTTTTTCCAGCTCCTCAGCAATTTGTTCGCTTGTGGCTGCCTTGGGATCCAAGACCAAATCCAAGAGGAGCCAAAACTCCTTTGTGTGCCATTCCCAGTCTGACCCAGTTACAAACAATCCTCAATTAAAATGTTCACATCTCAAAAAAAAAAAAAAAATCTCTGAGGACTTTTCCAAGCTTGGAGAAGCTTTGGGGTGACCTAATTGTGAGCCAAAAAGAAACATGGGGAGAGAATTTCCAAGGGCTTGGAGTGACAGGACAAGGAGGAAAAGGGGTAAAACTGGAAGAGGGGAAGTTTAGGTTGGATTTGGGAAGGAATTCTTCCCTGCAGGGGTGGCGACCCCCTGGTTCCATGGATTCCCCACCCCTGGAATTGTCCCAGGCCAGGCTGGACGAGGCTTGGAGCAACCTGGGATCAAGGGATTGGCACAGGATGAGCTTTAAGGTCCCTTCCTGCCCGAACCATTCCGTGATTCCATGACTCTGGTGTTTGTGAGCTGGGATGGTGCACAAGGGGCTTGGAGGTTCCCTCTGTAAAGGAACTGATAAACCAGGATTAAATTTCCCCTCGTTCTTCCAGCTGTGCCCCAAACTGCGTTACCCCAATTTAACAGCATAAAACCATCCGAATTGCGTGGGATAAAGCAGGAATTTGTCTCTGAATTCCACAATTCTGGCACTTCCTGCCTGGGTTCTGTGGGATCTCAGGGCTGGACGTGCTCTTTAGCCTTCCCCAAACCCAGAATTGAGATTGTTCCGACGCTGGGCTGGAGGCAGAGCCTGGTGAGCATCGGAGGAGACAGGAATTTATTAAGGATTTACACTCATACCCTTAATAAAAGAACGCCTTGGAATGATGAATTATGTATTATAGACATTCTTAGTATTTTTCTTTATGACTAAAGTCAAACATACGCTGGAGTCTGGATTTTGTTGTGACTGAGAGGTGGCTCTGGAATAAATTTGGTCCCTAATTCCCGAGATGAGAGAAACCTGCGGGACAGAATCTGTCTGTCAGAAGATAAGGAAATAAAAACAAAGTAAATAAGCAGTGAGGAAAAGACATTTAATCAGGGGGAACATTTGGCATTCAGGACATACTCGTTGGGAATTAATTCCAGGTACAAAGGCTGTCTGTGGTCCCCAGGCCATCAGGGCTGAGGTATAAAAACCAACTCAACCCAACTCCTTCCTGCCACTTCTCTTCTCTCTTTCCTCTTTTGTGAGCAAGGTTAGTTCAAATTCACTTCTCTTTCTCTGTTTGCTGAGTTCTTGCCTTTTAATAATCTGGGTTTTTTTTCCCCCACAGTGTTCTGCTGGTTGCTGCATTCTTTGGGTGAGGGGGAGACTTTTTCTCTTTAAAAAGTTGCGGGTTTGCTGTTGGAATCGTGGAATTTCTGGAGTCCTGACTTGGTTACAGAGATCCTTGAACTGGTGATAGAAATTTATCCAAACGTGGGATTTCAGTCATGTTAAATGACATAGAAAATATTAGAACTAATAAAGATGAACAAACTGAATGGGTGGAATAACCGTGCAAGGGGTTGGAACTCTGCGATCTTTAAAGGTCCTTTTAAACTTCAACTGTTCATCAAAACAGAAAATCCAGGAGCTCAGTTATATTTCAGCAGCGTTTTATATCTTGGAGGGTCTTTTCTATCCTGGAATGTCAGCTGGGTCACCAAGTGTGGAGATTTTGTTCCAGAGTGCAACGACATCTCCTGGAATGTTTGGATCAGGGATTGTGAGGATAAAGGGAGAGAAGGGGAAAACCAGAGCAGAGCTGAGCATCCCCTAGAAATCTGAGAATTTTATTTTCAATGTTGTGGTGCAGATAAAACCTAGGGATGTGCATGGAATTGCTGCCTTTTCTCACATCCATGGACGAGCTGTCTGGGACAGGTTTCAAAGACCTCCTCTCTGAGGCTGCTTAATGAAACATTAAAATTTGTACCTAATTGAGATTTGTACCTCTTTGTAGGCAAAGTCGGAGCCTGGAAATGAATCCTCCCTTTCATTTTTCCAGCTGCCCATGGAAATCTCTCCACAGGTACATTTGTGGCTGGGTTTCGCTCCTAATTGCTGCTCCTGCAACGCTCTGGGGGCACAGAGCTGGGTCTCTCCAGACGCGCAATCAAAATCCCTGCAATTAAATTAATGATACAGGTTTGTCTCTTTTGTTCTGCTGCCAGTTCTTCCCCGGATCACCGACATCACCCAGAGGACGTTTCAGCCTGTGTCTCTTTCTTTAAGAGTTTGGTTTCCTCCTCAGCTCGTGGCTCAGCTCCTAAAAGGCTCCTCGGAAAGTTGTGGTAGCTGAACTGAGCAGGTGTGGCACGACTCCTGCCTTGCACTCAGGTGTGCTCCTGTGTTCCAGACCTCATCCCGAGCCATGTCCTGCTACGAGCGATGTCCCCCCACGTCCTGCGGCCCCACGCCGCTGGCCAACAGCTGCAACGAGCCCTGTGTCCGGCAGTGCCAGGACTCCACCGTGGTCATCCAGCCGTCCCCCGTGGTGGTCACCCTGCCCGGGCCCATCCTCAGCTCCTTCCCCCAGAACACCACCGTGGGATCCTCGGCCTCCGCCGCCGTCGGGAGCGCTCTGAGTGCCGGGGGGGTCCCCATCAACTCGGGCAGCTCCTTGGGCTTGGGGGGCTTTGGCTACCCCGGGCTGGGCAGTGGCTACAGCCGGCCCTACCGGCGCTACAACCCCTCCCGCAGCGGCTTCTACGGGCCCTGCTAAGGCGAGAGGAGAAAGAAGAGCAGGAATGCCGAACCCCGACCCGTTCCTGCAGCAGGACTGAGCTCCCGGTGCCAAAAGCGATGTCAGATCGGAGTCAGTCAGCCCCCGGAATGAGGCCACTGCTCCTGTCTCGCTCCTGTGTGTTTCTGACCCGGTTTGTAGCTCTGCTGCTTGGTGTATTTGGTGCTACCCGGTGTAAAGTTTTGAATCTGGGGAGTGGGTGGGATGTGGTTCTCTGGGGGCGCTGGAAGAAGAGCTCTGTCTGTGGAACGCGTCCCCCTGAGCTGAGCCTTTCCCCCCACACCGACCCCTGGTGCTTTGCAGGGTTTTAATCCTCTCGTTGGGATTAATAAAATGATGCTTTTATCGTAACCTCCTGAGTCTCCTGCTGGTTTTTTCCCTCCCCTCCTGTTCTTATGTGAAACCTATTCGGGGTGAGATTTATCACTGAGTAGATCATCAATAATTTGGGGGAGTCAGGAATGTTGGGAATGTTCAGCCTGGAGAGTGGAGAACTCGGAGCATCTCCAGGATCTGAATTAGATTAGCGACATCCACTGAAGGCACTAAACCACTCAGTTTTTGGGCGAAAAAAATGGGAGAAATTCTCTTGTTAGGGAGGTTTGGGGCATTCCAGTAACTCAGTTATACAAATAATGTCTGCAGCAGGTTGAGCTGTCCCCAGGAGTTAAATTGCTCATGGTTTATGAACCAGCCTGGCTTGAGATGAAAAACCTCCCTCAAAGCTTCTTTCATCTCCGGGACCCGGGGTTCATTTCAGCGCTTTGTTCCATCACACCCTGGGCTCCGGAGCCAACACAACGCTACAAATTTCAATTCACGCAGTAATTTGTCAACTCCGTGGTGCCTCGCCTGTGCCGGGAGCTCCGGAGGTGTTAATTGAGTGCGGGGAGTGTGGAACTCCACCAACAGGAGTTGTCCTGTCCTGCTTCCCCATCCAAGGGCTCCCAACCTCCTGGATGAACTCCGGGTGTTAATTAGGGAACTGGAAACCCTGCCAGGCTGCTAATGAGGCTTTCCCCCAAATGGGATGTCCCCTCCAAGAGCAGCAGTTTCTGTGCCTGGAGGGGAGGATGAGGAGGAGGAGGAGGAGGAAGCGTTCCTGCGTTATCTCAGTTTTGCGGATGAAAGGGAAGAGAATTTTTCTTGGGAGTGATTCCTACTAGAAGGAATGAATTTTGTGACATATCTGAAAAGATCACGGGCTCTCGGGTTGTGGAGATTTTGAGGAGCAGGAGGAGAAAGACTCTCCTTTTATAGAAAAACCTTTTGTAGAAGAATCTTCTTGTAGAAAAGACTCCAAACAATGAGAGAATTTTCTTGTGGAGAAAAAAAGGGAGGAGTTAAAGGATTTTAAGGAGATGACGTTTTGAATTAATATTATTATTATTATTATTTTAAAGATAAACTACAGAAAGGTTTAATAAAATAACTAAAATTTCTGACGGCTTTTACCTTGAAGTCCTTTGAGTGCTCCTGACTTTGATTTGATTGAAGGCTTTGATTGAAGTTCTTACCCAGGAGATGCGGGCGCTGAGGTCTCCGCACGTCCCTGGAACCTCGGGGAGCCAAAACTTTGCATATTGGAGCCATCAGCGAGAAGTGTTGTGAGCTTTGAAGTCCTTTGTTCCTCTGAAGCCTTTGTGCAAAGCCTCTTCATTCTGAGTGAATTCCTATCTTATGCTGAGTGCTCCCCATCCCGTTTTATTTTTTTTTTGCATCCTTCCCGTGCAGGAATTTCCAGCAGGGACAAATCGAGCCGTGACAAATGGGATGAAGAGCCGGGGTGCAGCTTCTCCTGATGCTGTCGTCTGACATCGCACAGCCTCTAAACCCCAAAATTTGAATTAATCTCCGACATCCAGCTTCGAATTTAATCTGTCCTGATAATTCCCGGGATTGCGGGGGGCGGGAATGGGGGTGACTCGGGCATGGAAACGATATTAAAATACATGTTTGGGTAAAGAAATGCAGGGTTGTGGGCGTTTGAATTGGCTGTGGCTCGGCCAAAGCAATTTCGGAACGTGTTGCTCAGCAATTCTGGGTTTAATTTTCTTCCAGCTTTGCAATCCTCGGGGAAAAGTGCTGCTCCTCTCAGCTGTGGGGAGCGGGAAATTTGGGAATATCTACTCCGCATCTTGCGGTAAAGCTTGGAATGAAACGCTGAGGCTCCACGTAAGGGAAAAAAAAAAAAAAAGATTATTCACCTAAAGGAGTGAAGTCTTGAACGAGGACTAAACATCACAACCCGCCCCTGGAGCAGGGTCTTAATGACTAAAACCAAGCTTAAAACGTCCGCTGGCCTCGGGAGGCGACTTAATTAATGCTGTAATTCACCCGAGTCCCCGCAGCCTCCCAAGCAATTAATCGGGAGCAGAGGAATGAAGATGAAAGCTCTGGAATGGGAATGGGAGCAGGAAAAGGGAGAAATCCCAAGGGGAGATTTCGAAACATCAGGAGCCGATCAGTTCGGGGGGGTTTTGCATGCGAAAGGAAGGATCATTATGGAATTCCATGCATAGGAAGTGGCTCTGGATCGGGTATAAAAACCTGTAGGACAGAAGCCTTTTCCAGCCACTTCTCCTGCCTCCTTCACCCCGGGAACAGGTGAGTCTGAACCTCTTTTTAATGCCAAAGTGCCACTTTGATGGCTGCTTTTATTGTATTTTGTTGTTGTTGTTTTCCTTTTTACCTTGAAGGGAAATTAGGAATTGATTTCTTTCTACCCAGAAGAAAGGCTTTATTTAGTGAATTTATTTAGTTTATTTACTTGTGAAGCAGAGGGTGACGAGACGGGGCTTGGAGGATACTGGGAATGTCTCTCCAAAAAAAAAAGCAGCTTTATCCTGCAGCAACATTTGCTCCAGGAACTCAAACCCAGCAGCGACACAGGGAATGTTTGATCACCGCTACTGAAGGCAGGAAAAAAGGGCAAAATTCAGTTTAATGCCTCGTCCAGGGGGGAAACAAAGCCCAAATCCTGGGAAAGGGAGTGCAGAGGGAAGGAGAACACCGACATTAATCCACATCCACCCCCAAAAAAAGCATTTCATGCCTGGCAGGGGGTGGTGAGGGATTGGATCTGATGAGCGCTGACCTCTCCCCACCTTCTGTGGCTGCTTGGGCATCTCTCACCCTCCTGGACGAATTTTAGAAAATTGACACAGCTTTGAAATTGGGGTTTTGTTGCGTAGAGGTAAAACCTTATAAAATAAGGGCCTCGCTACCCTTGTGAACTCATGGCTCAGGCCTGCTGCTTCTGCTACGTAGAAAAGGGCTGTGGGAAAGTGACTCAGCTGAGTCCGAGGTAGAAAAACAAGTTATTTGTTATTTTTGTTATTTTGTTGCTTTGTTATTTGTTATTTTGTCATTTTATTTGTTATTTTGCTATTTTGTTATTTTGTTATTTTGTTATTTTGCTATTTTGCTATTTTGTTATTTTGTTGTTATTTTATTTGCTATTTTGTTATTTGTTATTTTGTTTTATTTTTTGCTATTTTGTTATTTGTTATTTTGTTTTATTTTTTGCTATTTTTGTTATTTGTTATTTTGTTTTATTTTTTGCTATTTTGTTATTTAACCATTGCACCGCTCACCTCGCGGTCTGTGGCACTCGCTTGGATGACATTTGTCGCTGCTTAAACGGAACGCGACCAATCGCTAATTCCTTAAAACTCGCTATCAAAACCAGGCCTAATTCCTTAAAAAGGTTGTGTTTTTTTGGTAATAAGGTTTTTTTTTTTGGTAATAAAGATCTCTTTCTTGCAGCTCCCTCACAGCCTTTAATTCCTTGCCCAAGGAATGTCTTCCCACGAGGTGTGTCCCCCCACGTCCTGCGGCCCCACGCCGCTGGCCAACAGCTGCACCGAGCCCTGTGTCCGGCAGTGCCAGGACTCCACCTACGTGATCCAGCCGTCCCCCGTGGTGGTCACCCTGCCCGGGCCCATCCTCAGCTCCTTCCCCCAGAACACCGCCGTGGGATCCTCCACCTCCGCCGCCGTGGGCAGCACCCTCAGCTCCGAGGGGGTCCCCATCAACTCGGGCAGCTCCTCCTCAGGATTTGGGGGGTTGTTTGGGGGATTTGGGTACAGCCGGCCCTCCCGCCGCTACGGCTCCCGCTTTGGGGAGCCGTGCTAAGGGAAAAGTGGGATAAAACACCCGGGAATGCCGGAGCACCCCCCGATCCCGCTCCAGGTGTGGTGGGAGACACCCACAACTCCGCCCGAGGTTCACGGAGCTGTGGGAGCTCCTCAAACATTTGCTTGTCTTGTTCTTTGATATTTCTGATGAAATAATTTTATTTCCTGTCGCTTTGTGGTCTCAGTCCAGAGAGAAGAATCCCAGGATGAAAAGCCGTAACAGCTCTTGCTGAATGGCCGAAATATCTCCCCACACTTTGTACTTTTTTATTCTTCTGTTTTGCTCTCATTAAAGTCACGCTGCATCACACTCCGAGTCTCCTGTTGTTTTTCGGAAAAACTTGGGAAACTTTTAGCAAAAAGCTGGGTTTTTAAATGAGATTTTCCTGTGTTTTATACAGTGAAAAGGGGCAGCAGAGGTTTCAGGAATTCAGCCTGGAGAGGAGAAGCTTTGGGGTGGCTTCACTGCCACCTTCCAGGACCTGAGGGATCTGAGGGACTTTGGGCAAGGGCAGGGAGTGACAGGACAAGAATTTTTGTTTCAGAATGACAGAAAGGGGGTTTAGATGGGATTTTGGGAAGGAATTGTTCCCTGTGAGGGTGGGGAGGCTCTGGCTCAGGTTATTCCATGAATTCCCCCCTCCTGGAAGTGTCCAAGGCCAGGCTGGACGGGGCTTGGAGCAACCTGGTGTGGTGGAAGGTGTCCCGTGGTCCAGATGCTCCTTCCTGAATGAGCGAAGGAAATAAACGGGAAATCGGGGATTTGGGATGCGATGGCAGCAAAAACCAGTTTCTCCCATGGAAAAGAAAGGGTTTATCCCCATTATTCCAGGCAAATCCTGGCTCCCAGGGGATGGATCAGAATCCCACATCCACCAGCCTTGGTGGCACCAAACGTCGTTCTGTGAGGAAGGTGGAGCCGGCGCCCAGGGCAGCTCTAATTGCACTCATCCAATTTGAAAGGTAATTAAAAATCTGCATTTGAAGGCTGGCGAAAAACAGGTCTGAAAAACAAACAAAACCCTCCCTTTTTTGGGCGTGTTGTTCTGCAGAGCTTCTGGTGAGTAAATAATTTCTCCCCTCGAGTGTGAATTAATTTTTGGTGCTGTTTTCTGCTGGTCCAAGCAGAATTCCAGTTGGGAATTCCACACTACCCCGGCTCCTTGCAGGAATTCTCTACAGATCCCTCCAGGAGTGAGTGACATTAATTTTTGGACAAAACCAGAAATCATAACAGAAATTTTTTGAAGTTTATACGTCCAGAGTAAGACGCCAAATCAAACCTCAAACCTGGGTGATTTTAACGCCGTTCGTGACAGAATCTGAATAAAATTAACAGCGAGATGAGCTCCAGTCAGGTGTGAAAATGGAGGATTTCACATCTCCCTGTGCCACTAATTCTTCTTAAGCTAATTAATTTCAATCCGAAACGAATCGCAGATGCCACTCCCGCCAGAAAAATTCCATCTGCTTCTCCATGGATTTTGGGGTCACTTCTGTGCCTGGAGACTTTACTTTACATTTTGATTAAAAATCACTTTTTTTCAGACGTTTAGTCACTCACAGGTGTCTCAGGAGGATGTTCTCACATTATGCAAAATGTCTTGATTATAATCTGAATATTTAAGTCTGGCCTTGATGACAAAAATCTGTGAACTCTTAATTCGCTCGCTTTAATTCATCTCAAAATCAGGCCAGTAAGTCATTCTGAGCGTGCAATAAAATAAAGGCTGGAGTTAGAACAATATTTTTTGTAATTTACAAGGCTCTGAAAAGATCTGAAAATGTTGCCAGATCCGTTTTTAAATTCACAGCTGGATTTTAAACGTGTTTTGCGTTTTCCAGTCAAAGCTCAGATGAAGGAGGAATAAAAAGAATGAGGAAAATTTTTTAAAAGAAGATGAAAATAAACTGTGGATGGTGTGATGCAAATTAATTCCTCAACTTACTCCTAGAGAGGAAATATTTTAAAATATGGAGAAATATTTATGGAGCTAAAAACAGACAAGGAGTTTTTCTTTTTGAGAATCCTCCTGAAATATGAGATGGCCCAAACCAAACCTTGAACTTTTTATTTAAAATAAAGCAGCTGTAATTCCTGCAGATAGAAACAATGTCAGCAATTTCACGGCCCAATTACTGCCCTACACCCCCAAATCTTGGTAACGTATTATTAAATAAAATACAAGAACCCAGATCTAGGTCAGGGATCTGAAATGTGCCCGGGATGGGACATTTGCATGGTGGCGCTCGAATAAAGCTGCTGATAAACTTTGAAGTCCTCAGGAAGCTCTGCCCAAGCCAAACGAGTTTCTCTTCCCAGGGGATCCCCGCAGAGACAGCGCTGATTTAAATCTGATTTACGTGTCTCGGGAGTGGAAGTGCCCGGAGAGCAAGAACCTCGGGGTTAATCCCTGTATCCAGGACTGCTGGTGGATTTGGGGTTGGAAAAGAGCTCTGGGATCATCAATCCCAACCTGTGGTTGATCCCCCAACCGGGCACCCGCGATGTCGCCACGTTCCTGGGACAGCTCCAGGGATGGGGGCTCCAAACCTCCCTGGGCAGCGCTTTCCATGGAAAAATTCCTTCTCCCATTCCTAGAGAGCCTCTCCATGCCTGGAGGGGTCCAAGGAAAGGATGGGCTGGTGACGAGTCTGGGATTGGGAACAGCTTGGACTCCATGATCCTGGAGGTCTTTCCCAACCTCAGGGATCCCGGGATTCTGCGAAAAGTCAAAAAAAAATTTCAATACTCACGGCTTGACTCCCCAAAATCTGCAACTCTCCGTGAATTCCCCCAGGATTTACCTTGCATTATGCAAATGAGGCCTCATCTCCTTTAATGACACCAAGCAGATCCCAAAGGGGTTTGAAGGCTGCATAAATCCCGCTGAATTAATCACTGCAGTGTTCCCAGGAATGAACCTGTCCCGGAATGCTTTAAGATGAAAGCACCTTGTGGTCAGATAGACAAACCACAAGATAAGGAAGTGAAGCAGTAAAAAACACAAATACCGAGGCAAAAACAATTAAATAAATAAAAAAGCCTGTAATCAGTCGTGGCCCATAAATCACTTCTTGCACAAAGAGTGGCCCAAGTCGTTGGGCAGCTCAAAACTCGGTATAAAAACCTGAGCAACTCCAGGCTCTCCCAGCCATTCCTCTTCCCTCCTTGGCCATCGCGAATAAGGTGAGTTTGAACCTATTTATTCTCTTTATACAACGAACTTCTGCCTTGATTTTGTAGTTTTTCCCTCACTCCCGCTGCGGCAGTTTTTTCTCAGAGGGAGGAAGGGGTTTTATACCAAAAAGGGAGTTTTGTGTTGGTGGGGATTTATAAAAATCATTAGTAGGACACGTTAGCTAAATGTCTGTGGGTTATTTATTAAATGGGTTATTTATTAAATGGGTTATTTATCCAGTTTTGGGATCCAAGGAATTTTTAAGGTTGTGCAGCTGCACTTAAATACCAGCAGTGAATTCTTGGGCCTGTTCAGAGTCGCGTGAGCGCGTCCCACTGCAGCCCAAGCAGAAAATTCACCTGCGGCCAGAGCACGAAAAGCACTAAAAATCCGGTTTCCTCCTCAATTCTCAATACTGGGAACTGCTGTTGTCCTGCTAAATGTGGCTCCTGTATTCCAGAATTCCCTCTGGCCACAGCCATGTCCTGCTACGACCTCTGTGCCCCCACGTCCTGCGGCCCCACGCCGCTGGCCAACAGCTGCAACGAGCCCTGTGTCCGGCAGTGCCAGGACTCCACCGTGGTCATCCAGCCGTCCCCCGTGGTGGTCACCCTGCCCGGGCCCATCCTCAGCTCCTTCCCGCAGAACACCACCGTGGGATCCTCGGCCTCCGCCGCCGTCGGGAGCGCTCTGAGTGCCGGGGGGGTCCCCATCAACTCGGGCAGCTCCTTGGGCTTGGGGGGCTTTGGCTACCCCGGGCTGGGCAGTGGCTACAGCCGGCCCTACCGGCGCTACAACCCCTCCCGCAGCGGCTTCTACGGGCCCTGCTAAGGCGAGAGGAGAAAGAAGAGCAGGAATGCCGAACCCCGACCCGTTCCTGCAGCAGGACTGAGCTCCCGGCCGCGCTTTTTGGATGCCACGCCAGACACCCCCAGCCTGGAGTTAAAGGAGCTGTGGGAGTTCGACATCCCCCCAAGCCAGGCCTTTGCTTGTGTTTTGTTGTGCTTTTCTCTGATTGAATGCCTTGTCCCGCTTTTTGTTTTGTTTTGGGTTGTTTTGTTTGGGTTTTGTTTTTTTTTTCTTTTTTTTTTTTTGTATTTGATAATAGGCAAAATGTTAATTGTTAGCGATTGTTCTGCATGGCTGGATTAGCACAGGTCATTCATCAACGAAGAAGGAAGATTTCCACTTGCTGAGTGGGGGATGAGTGGGTTCTGTCCTTACCGGACCATGGAAATGCGTTCCTGACTTTTACGTTGCTTCCTTCCCTTCCTCAACCCATTAAATTCGTGCTGCATCACCCTCCGAGTGTGCCTGGCCTTCTTTGCTCTCCCAGCCCCTTTTCCAGTGCCTTTGGAAGCTCCCCCCTTCCAGAAAACACCGCGCAAATAATTTCAGAGGAGAACGAGTCAGATTCCAGTGGCGGAAAACTTTTAAAAGCCGAGCCCCCTTTTCAAAGGCAGAACGGGACCCTGCAGTGGGTGCCTCCTGCTGGGGCATAAACAGGGAATTGTAAAAGGTGTGAGACCTGGGGAAAAGCCTTTCAAAAGAAGGGAGCTGAGCTGGGATTCAGGGAAGTGTGGAGGGAGAGCAGCTGCAGCCGGGGCGGGATTTGGGGACAGCCTGGAGCTGTTTGGGGTCAGCATCTCCCGGCAGCTGAGCTCGGCCCCCGGTGAGTCTGGGAGGGGAGGCACAGAAGGATGGGAAGTGTTTCTCCCTTTGGAATTTGCTGGGTTGGGAAGCAAGTATGGGACAAAGAGATGAAAGGACTAAAATTTGAAGTATTTTTAGTTCTAACCCTTTCTTGGGGTGTTTTAAGCCGTTGTGTCTGGCTGAGCTGAGTTTTTCCGGGCTTTGTTCCTCCTGGATCGGGATGAAGGTGCTGTTTAGACTCCGGAGCTTTGCTCCCTGAAGGAAAAAGGTTTGGAAAGCTTCGCCTGGAGGCTCCGGGTGACTCAACCTCCTCTAAAACTCCTGATATCTCTGAAAAGTCTGGCTTGGAGTCTTTGTCTGCCTGTCCAGAATGAGGCTGAACTGTAATTAAAGATGTTGATGAGGTTGTGCCGACTGCAGTCATTAGTGGGATGAAATTAAAGGAGGTAAATGAAAGAATTAATAATTTTAAGGAGGAGGCTTTTCTTAATAAGCACCAGAAGACAGTGGAAAGCTGGCAGTTTGATGTTCTATTACAGGAGGAGTTTGGTCTGGATTAAATGTTTAATTTAATGTATTTTGCCATCTCAACTGAAGTTGTTTCCTGATCAAAGGTGATGAATTCCAAAAAGTCCAAAGGGCTCCAAAGGGCTGTGGCTGAGGCGCTGCTGAGAAGGTGCCTTGGACATGTTCAGGTGGTTATTTCCCATGACAAAATTAATTTCCTTATTCTTGCAATTCCCTTCTCATTAATTGAACCAAACCCCTTCCCAGATTGCACGAAAACTCCCCTCGAAGTTGGGGTGTTTACTCCAAGCACTCAGAAATCGCATCAGAGGGGTCAAACTTTTAAAAATAAAATAAAAGGCGACCCTCAAGCATCACTTGTCCCCTTCATTCCTGTCCCAAACGGCCTTTTTGGGTTAAAGCTTGGTGCAGCAGCAAGTAAAGCACAATTCTGAGGGGGAAAAAAGGGAAATCTGGGTGGGTTTGCAGTCAGCTAGAAAGTGATTTATTCGTAAAACGAGTGGGGATATCGTGTTAGAATGTTTTTCACAGGGAAGGATTTCTTCTGGAGACCTGCAACAACTTGGTCCCACAGAAATTAAAGATACCACGAGGTGTTTTTGCAGAAGCTTTTGTCATCAGCGAAAATCCATCTCAGCACCAAATTCTGCCAAGCTAAAGCCGGAGCTGCAGCATCTCCTGGGTTTAGGGAGAGAAGGGAAGAGGCAGGAAGGCTCTGGAGAGCTTTTATGGCTTTCTGGGGCTGCCTGGAGGATCCGAGACATTCCCGCACCTTTTATTACCCATTCCCTGCGGGAATTGTGGCTTTGCTTTGCATTTGGCCGCGTTCCCGGCAGGGAAATTGGTTTGTTTACTGTTTATGTTTATTATGGGTTTATCCTGGGCACGGATGAAAAACCCACGACCCCGCCAGGTCGCTTTCATCTCCCGGGTTTGCATCCATTAAATATTCCCGACTCCATCGCGCTGACTCCGCCTTCCAAAGCGGGGATGAGTCAAAATCCGATTTGTTTAGGGCTTCTGGCGTTTTGGGCACACACCTGGGAGCAGCTCCCGCCGTGGCAGAGAGTTTTAATCGGAGTCCTGAGTGTGTAATTCCAGCCTTGATAAGCGCCCAGGAGATTTCAGATCCCTGCTCCTTGTAATATTCCCATGAGCGACATCCCAAAGCTTTTGGCTCCTGGGAGGAGGAGATGGAGCCAGCCAGACGAGTTGGACTTAGGATCACCTTTAGAAGAGGAATTTGGGCTCTTTTTATCTTCTCTGCAGCTTTTGATGAGTTGTGGTTTTAAACCACAAGCTGCTCTCAGAGTCGGTAAATAGTTATTGTTGTAAAGGAAAGTCAGGGAATCGTGGAATGGTTTGGGTGGGAAAGGGGCCTTAAAAATCATCGAAACCATGGGCAGGGACACTTTCCACCAGCCCAGGCTGCTCCAACCCGGCCTTGGACACTTCCAGGAGTCCAGGGGCAGCTGCAGCTTCTCTGGAGAAGCAATTTTTGAACATTTCTCTGTGGGCAGTGAGAACTTTGGGAAATTCTGCTCAGTCCTGAGGGACGGGAGAGTTCCCACCCATCGTGGGGGTCATCCCAAACTGGGGACATCCAGGGAGTCACGGCTGGAACTGTGCAAATTCTAATTTGTATTTCAAGGACAAGGTGGAAGCGCTGGAGCCGGTGGGGAAGTATGTGGGATCCATCAGGAATCCATCAGGGATCTATCAGGGATCCATCAGGAATCGTGGCCACCCTTTTGAACCCCTGGTCATGTTCAGAGAGTCCGTCCCTGCCCATTTGCTGATCATCCCCCATTTGCATGTCTGAGTGGTCGAGGGAAATGTTTTGGGAACTTTGAAGGTTTCTGCTCTTCAAAAGTCTCCAAGCGGCGTTTATTTCCCAGGAGATGCTGGGGAAGATACTCCCGGTTCGGGGCTGATTTGCCTGTCTCTGCCTCGGAGATGAAACACGAGGAGAGCTTGGAATGCTCAGCCCTGCCCTCCAGTCTGCTCCTGCATTGTCTGCAACGACTTTTTAATCTGGAAATTGCCTTTGAAAAGGAACAGGAATTGCTGCACGCTGAGGTGCTCCCTGAGACGTGCAAAGTGAAAGCCAGAATCGCCTTTCAAAGAGGAAAAAAAACCACAAAGGGACAGGAACATCATAAACGACTCTAAATAACCGCTATTAATTTAGGGAACAATTTTGCATAATTGTGCAAGGCACGGCAGGGGAAAGTAATAATTTAGTAGGTGTAAAAGGGTTTTGCGTCTTTGATGACCCCAAAGATGAGCTTGGGCAAGGCTTTGAGTGTGTCTGAGCAGCCCCAGATTCCCAGGCATCCTCCAGATGACCTCAATCGTTGTCCTGCAGTTTGATCTAAGGAGAAAGCCCAATCTGGAGACTCCTGAGATGAAGGATTTGGATGCTCAGCTCCCAAATTGTGCCTCAGATTCCATCATGGGAGTGTGGTGGTTTAATAAAGAAGGATCAGATGCTGATCCTCTTCCATGCTGAGTCAAGAAAATAAAATCTCAACCCACGTCCCAGTACCTTTGAGAGTTTAATCAGCTCCAAATGCTTTCTAACAATTTTATTTCCTCTATTTTTGTGTGTCTCTCTCTCTGTTTGAGAGGAATTTGGTGACGTTGTGAGGCAGAAATAGGAATTTCTGCCCTCTTCAGAGCGAGGTGTGCCAAAAACTTGCGCCCTGGTGGATTTCACAGGGAAGTTCACCGCACCTTTTCCTGATGGTTTCATCCATCCGTGTCATGGTTCCTTAGGATGCAAAATAATTTCCTGAGTAACCCAGATGAATCAGCCTCTGAGGCTCGTAAGGTTTGAGGATAAAAGAAACCTCTCTGAAGGAATGCGTACATTACCGGGGAGGAAATGAAATCCACAAGAAACACAAACGGAGAGGAAAAGTAAATCCCCAGCCAGGGGTATTTTGCATAAGAGGAATCGTTAGCAATTGGCTGCTAATGAGCTACAAGCACAACTTTTGTCCCGGGCCCCAGGGGCTCTCTGGGCCAGGGTATAAAACCAGCCCTGTCAGAGGAGCTCAAACCACTCCTGCTTTATTCTCCTTGGAGAAAAGGGTAAGTCCTGATCTGCTTCCCATTTTCCTGCATTGTCGCTGCCTCTGTGTTTTATTTTTCTGCTGCTTGTCTGTAGCAGCCCGAGGTTTGTGCTCTTTAAACGTCGCTGGGGAATCCTCGAAGCAGCTTTTTCTCCAGTCTGTGAAGGGTGGAGGTTGTTCCTGCGCTGACCCCGGATTTTTTTTCCTTCGTGTCACCCAAATCTTTTCCGTTCCAAGAAGCTCCAAGCGTTGCTCAGCAGCTGGGAGTGGATGTGGGGGAACCTGCGCAGAGCTGTTGGCTCTCGGGGTGGAATCACAGAATATTCGGGGTTGGAAGGGAGCTCTGGAGATCTCCCGGAGCAGGGGACACAGGAAAGCCTCCAAGAGGGTTTGGAACGACGCCGGACAGGGAGACTCCTGGGCAAGAGGGTCTGAATGTCTCCGGAGGGAATTCCTGAACTCCCTCGCTCAGAGCGACCTGTGCCAAGGCCTCACCACCCTCACGGTGAAATTTCTGCTCCTCATTTTTACTTGCTGAGGAGTTTTTTGGGTTTTTTTCCCCTCTATTTTGGGGGACACAGCTTTTCCTTGCTTTTCTGCCTGCCTGGCCCCTCACTCCCCCACTTGTTTCAGGGCTGCAGGAGGAGCGCGGTGGGAAAGGAGCCGCTCAGGGGGAGGTGGAGCTGCCCTTTGTGGTGTGGACAGCTCCGGGCATCACTGAAATCTCCTTTCAAGCCCGGATCAACCCTTCCCTCCGTTCTCCACGCACTCCATCACCACAACAGCTTAACCACAGCGCCTAATTACAACTCCCTCCTTGCATTCCAGAATCCCGGGCTCACACCCCACAGCCATGTCCTGCTCCGACCTCTGTGTCCCCACGTCCTGCGGCCCCACGCCGCTGGCCAACAGCTGCACCGAGCCCTGTGTCCGGCAGTGCCAGGACTCCACCTACGTGATCC